TTTTTTTTCCTTGACAGATTTATGACCAAGAACAAGCCACACTTGCGCTTCTAAACTTGAAGATATCTTTACAGTTTAAGCTACTGGACTGTTTACGCACTCCGATTCAGAACATTCTTATCTCGTCTGCAGTGAACAGCGTCTAATCTCCATTGGGTCCGTGGAAGTTACAAAGACAAAGAATTTTCTAAAAATTTCCACTTGGAATAATTGAAAAAATGAACGCTACTAAGGGAAAATACTGATTATGAGCTTTCATTTGAATGGCTGCATTTTTGCGGGCCTCAACGCGACTCCTCAGTTGAAGTAACTTTACGTTGCTTTAGTACATCAAAGAAACTGCGGATTCATCGGTTCCTTTAAGGCACCATGATCGAGGGTCGTAGGCATTGATCCTGATCCTGACCATCCCACAGGAACGCGCCTTCTGCGTTTTACTCTAATGGAAAAGGGTTAAAATTCATTACTATCTATAGGCAGCCTACATTAGGTACTTTTCACTGACATGACTTTCAAAAGTAATACATATTTGTACATTAATACGTCCACTTGCGTCTTAGCTTCCGCATGAGAGCCTGTTACGTGATTAGTCTCTCGTTAGTAGGCATATTTTGAAACAGTAAAATTCTACCTCGAGAGGACGAAGGACGAAAATAAGCGAAATTGAAGCAAGAGTTGGAAGAGTGTCTCTAAGCTTCTCTAAGTCGCTAAGCTTCGCCATCGAGTAATATTTTCTTTGAATATAAAATGCGCCTAGAGAAGTATTGTTTATCCCTTTTGAGTAACACTTGATTTGCGAAAATCCTTTTTTTTTCTGCCACGTGGTGGAAATCTTTAAAAGGAACCTCCGCTCTATTTATATTTTAAATTCCTGGAAACCTTCATTTACTCATTGAAGAACGCAATCGTCTTAACCTTGGTCCGAAAATTACAGCGGACAACAGTTGAAAGACGGCAACACTTGTTGGCGTTACACGTACTCTAGTTTACAAATACAATGAGATACGCGTTGTAATTGCATTTGCCTGAAATCCAATTCAAGTAGCTGTCCAATTCATTTTAAATTGCACAACACATTTATTCGGGCAAAGTTGGACGTTTTATAGATGAATACGAATATTGGGTAACTGATAAACACTAGGACATTTGTGACCCAGCTGTAGTTAGTGACTGTTTAGCCACGAAGTTACCTCGTTATGAAAAACGTTGGTAGTGATCCATAGCTCAGAGACCATTAGCGAGGTGTACAAATTGAATAACGTTAAATGGATAAATGAGTTAAAGAGCCCTTGTCGTGAGTTATGTAACTACGAACAGATATTTCAGCTTCGCGCGAATGTCAAGTGCGAACTTAGCCCTGGTGACCAGAGAGAGAGAGAGAGTGCGAGGGAATAACATGGTGTCATCATTTGGCTTCGACTTCCAGAGTTATCAGTTTTCATTTTTCCTGCAATATTAATTTTTTAAACCACAATGGCTTTTAGAAATAATAGCCCTACAAAGAAGAAGAAAACGAACTCTAGAAGGCCTCTGGTATTTGAAGTCAAATAACATCATGAAAATTGTCTATTTGCCATGACCAAGTCTGTGATGTTTATTTCCTGGGACGACATGCGCTAGAGGCGATTGTTATGGTAGCGTCTGAGAGGTAGTATTGACTAGTTCCCTTGGAAAGTTTCGGGTGAACAGTATTTCTTGATAGCAACATTGTAAATATTCAGTTAAACCTAAGTATGTGTACTCTACAAACAGAATAAACATTTTTGCTACCATTTGACCGACTCATGCTAACCTAGAGTCGTGTGTAAAGGGGATCGATGTTCTCCAAGGTGGCGTAAAATAATGGAGGCCGCTTAAAACGTGCATGGAAAATGAAATAGCAGTATAGCTCATATAGGGAGGTTTAAGCCGAACGGCTCGACAACGTCCGGCCAAATAAACCAACGGCAACTTCTTCGTGGATAACGCCGGACAACTTACACTTGCTGACGGTATAAAGAGGGAAACAGCCACGAAACAACAAAAGCTCGTTTCGTCAATCTACTTTACACAAGGTTCTAGGATTGCAGAAATTTCAGTGACAGATATGAAGGTAGTCAGAGTGAATCCGGCTATAAGCTTTAAGAAATTGTCTTTCATAAGAATGGAAATACTCGTTCGTAATACCCGGGTTTAACCCTTTGAGTATCCAAACGGGACACCTCGGTAAGTGATTAACTGCTTTGTTCTCCTGCTCTCTATTATCTTGTAATGTCGAAGGAGAAGTTAACTACTGATCTCCTCGGGGCTGCGAGAAATGTAAATCCTCTTCAAAACGGCCTTTCAATCCGCCTAACTAAGAGTGAAGAACTAGGACACCAGTTTGAGGAGTGTGGCTAAGCTTGTTATCCAGCAATTCAGGTATCTCGGACAGGGCTCTAATACTGTCCACCGCGAAACCCACGAAATCCTCCCCGAGGGGGTCCCCCTCGGAATCCACCGCCGCGGAATCCGCCCCCTCGATTGTTTCCACGGTAATGTCTGGGGCCTTGGTAGCCACGTCTGGGAGGGGGCCCACCACGCCCTCCTCTGTGCATCAGCCTAGCAAAGACACAATAGAGAGAGTTATATGACGTACAAGTAGGAAGTACAAAGATCGTACAACGGTGGCAGCACAGTTTGGTCTGGGAAGGAGCAAGGGCCCCTATATTCCCGAACAGTCCACGCAACGATGAACAGTGGAATCTCGATTCTTCGAAGCTCCAAGGGAAACTAAAATTGTTTTGAAAAACCGGGTAGTTCGAGAGATCGGCCTACCCTCAGTCGAACACTGTAATGTTACCGCAAACGACTTCTAGTTCGAGTTATCAGGAGGTTCGAACAAAGTTAAAAAGCGCGGGTTCGAGAAATCGAAATTCCACCGTACATGTTAGACACAATAATAATAACCGAAGAACACAGACGCTGATGAATCGAGCGTAAGATAACAAATCATCAACGGAAGTTAATTTGTATTTCGACTCTTGCCCGGTAGTATTTTCAAGTTCAGCAAAGAACTATTTATACCCAGCGATGGACTAGCATCCCATCCAGGGTGGAGTAGAAATACTCCTAGTCGCTTCATGCTACAGAAACCGAACAGAAACCGAAGATACGAGCCGGCCTAATAGGCAACTGGACTCCATTGCAGACTTCACTTAAAGAGATACTACAGTCGTGACTACTTGGCGTGAACTACCAATATTAATGTTAAACGTACAAAAACATTTGACCACTTTTATGTCATGTTAGCGTACCTTACCTAAGTTGTACAGGGTACAAGTAAGAAAGAAGCCAACAGTTCCACTCACCCTGGGAGAGGTCGTCCCCGTGGCGGAAATTGGTTTCCACCACCACGGTTGACACCAAAACTTCCAGCATTAGCCCGCGAGAGTGATTTGATAACATTCAATATTCTTTCATCTGCGTGAGTAGGTTCGGCTATCGTGGATGGAGTGGTAGCAGCGCGAACAAGCAGGTAATCCAGCGCCTGGCGCAGAGCTACTATCATGGCGGCTTGATGATGAGGAAAACGGAACTGCAACCTGAGAGGAAAAGATCAAGGTGAGAGAGAAGCGAAAGTTAGAGATATTCCTGGAGAGAAGGCTGTTGAGCGAAAATATCCTTAATATCGCTAGTCAATAGTTAGCCAGCCACCAAAAAGCCACATTTTCAAGGAATCCGAGCGAAGCTACCATTATTTTAGTTTTCTTACTGCAATTTATTTCCATTTTCTCCATCCTTAGTCATACAGTCCAACCTCCACTAAAGGCCCCCTCTCTTGTAGCTACCACAGCCAGAACATTTCGTCCCCACCGTACACCGTGCACCACACTAAAACGACCAGTTAATTCCTCCACAACTTGGCTGTTCTACAAAGGTTAAAAACTGTATTCACATTTCAATTGTTTCTCATCTTTTGCCCAGTACTGTTACACAATTTCAACCACTGTTGTCTGGATTCCGATGGTGCTGGTAGGTTTTCAAACTGCTCACGATAAAAAATCACTCTAAAGATGATAGTGCTCCTTTCACCCATACGAACGCGAGAGTTTGCTTACCAGTCATCCATTCTGACGACTCCATTCTCAGATTCCACTTTACTCTGACTAAACATGAGCAGCTGGAGAGGGTTGACCATGGTCATCTGTTTACACGACACAGCGCGAGTACGAATCTGATTCAAAAGAACAACATAGATCATACAAGATGTAATTAAGGTCATTCCACTGAAATAGAACCTGCACTGAGATTTTTGTGAAACTTTGCCTATTGATTGTCTATATTATAGGAACTTAAATTCTGAAATAAAAATGAGGGTTCCCCATGTTCGTTTAGGAGCAACAGCACCTTGTTTATACCCATATAAATCCTTATAATAGCACCATGATTGTAGTCACGATTGCTTGCTAAATTCACG